ACTCTAAAAAATAACAAAAGCCTTTCTTAATGAGGCATGATTGTAGCCCGCAAATTTCTGATTAAAATGAGACATCTCCCACCTCTGCACGACCTTTCTTTGCAGAGTTATAGAATTTACAAGAAAAGTCCTAAATTGTTCATTGTCAGCTCAAAGCTACAGAAATAAGAAATAAATTTAGGACTTTTCTTGTAAATTCTATAACTCTGCAAAGAAAGGTCGTGCAGAGGTGGGAGAGGTCTCATTTTAATCAGAAATTTGCGGGCTACAATCATGCCTCATTAAGAAAGGCTTTTGTTATTTTTTAGAGTTTCTGAAAAACTGGTTTTCTAGAAATCCGGTCTCAGGAGGTCTAAGGTCCCAAACAGATGTCATATTCGGATTCAGCATACTTGATTACCTATTGTCCACTAGCTCACGGCTCAAAAGCGATTTGCCAGTTAGTGTCCTTTCCTCGTGAGTCGAGTGGTGATGTTTATTTTTAGTTTCAAACCGATCTAAAGTCACTATATCAAGATTTTCGAAATATCCGTTCTATACGCAACATAGCGAAGAATGTTTTAATTTGAAAACCTTGATATAGGGACTTCAGGTCGGTTCGAAACTAAAAATAAACATCACTACTCGACTCAGTGTGGCCGATTGCTCCTACCTTGATCCATTTTAGGATCACCCAAGGCCAACTGGCCCAAATCGGGGCCCTCGGAAAAATGGTTATAGCTCGTGAATCGTAAGAGATCGAGAGTTAAGACTGGTCTAGAATTGTAGATCTCGATTCGGACTATCGACTGCACTGTTTGAAAATCAAAATTTATCGTATGATTTAGGAACGATGATCTCGTAGACTTTGCATCGGAAGGTTTACCAAGGCTTACCTGAAAGCCTGGTTTTTGCATACGCTCACGTCCCCCGATGTTCTCTATCCAACGGTAGAAGTCCCTATCACTTGTCGTTCAAATGTGATAAGCATTCTACCGAGCCACCTCGTTTTCATAAAAGGATAATAGATTTTTTTGTAATTTTGGTAAGTAACAGTAGAAAAATATAGATATTCAAATTTCCTGTCTTAATTTGATTTGTCCAGACGGCTCTCTACTCAAACTTCTGAAAGATATTTATGTCAAAACATCGACATCAATATCTCTAACACGTATATTTTCAGTCATAAGGGTGTTTTAAAATGAACGTTATTTGTTTGAATTTCTGAGACGAGAGAATCGTTTTCTCATGAAAGAAGCATGGAATTTAAAATAAAACAGAAATATTAGCTTCTAACATAGTCTTCGGAAATAATTAATCTAACTCATTGTCTATACTTTCGTACAAAAACGTTTGCTTGTTGGTACTCCTTCGTCCAAAGTGACAACTTACTACTCTTGTTTTCATTGGTGCACTAATTGGACAAATGTATAACGAAACATTAGTTTTATTTATATTTTTGTGATATAACGCTGTTATTTGGTGATATGAATGGAAATCATTGATGAAAAATATTATATTGTCAAACCTTTTCTTCTGTGTTGTTGACCTTCTTTCTCCTCGAATGCCTAGCTGTGAAATCTCACTTTTCTAGGCTGGTGTTAATTCACCTGTATCTCTTTTGTTTTCTGATCCTTGTGTCTATCTTCTTTCATATTCAAAATTCTATCATTTCTTTCTCAAACTGCTCAACTTTCAATCGTATGTCTGTGAATGTTCCTAAATTTTTTAGATTTTCTTTCCTTTCGGTTGTTTTCGTTTGTATACGAACAATAATATCTAAACTTTTTGGCTCTTTGAATTGTATTCTCTGTTCATTGTCGAGTTGTGAATGCTTCGAATGACTTCAGACGAGACGATCAATTCATCTTCATCTAACCGCCATGGTTTGTCGTTGCTACGCAGGATTTCCGATTGTTTTTAATCAGGGTGAGGAGATTTTTTTGACGGACAGTCTTTTTAGAAAGTCTGCCGAGAGTTTTTTTTCTAAACAAGTGAAACATTTGTTCATTGAAAAGAATTTTTGTTATTCCGTATTAGAATTTATTTTTTCAACGAAAACAATATTTAACTTTCATCCGAATCATCTTACAGAAATAATGATATACTTCGTCCTTTGGCTCGCCCTGGATGAGAAATAAAATCTTTTGTAACAAAATTAAAACTGACAAAATGTCACAGATAAGAGTTTTCTGTCTACTATGATTAAAACGGTAGCATTCATCTTACTGTTCCTATTGAAAATTTCCACCTTAGATTGTCCTTGTATTTTGAAGAATTGTCTGCCATTTATATTGACACGTAGTTTGTAGCTGTTGATAATAGCTGTCGTTTTCTTACAGTTTATCAGATCAAATAGTTGCAAGGTAATTGCGACATGTGTTGTGCTCACAAAAAGATTGGACAAATTCTAGGCAGAATAAAAGTTCCAAAAATCTGACGGACAGTGTCAAAATGTAGGATGGGGAGATCATCCACTTCTCGGAAACTGTGTTGCTACAGATTCCGTGGATTTTTTGCAGACGTTTTTTCTAACCTTAAATATATTGCACAAGAATTCAATAATTATCCATTCAAAATAAATTTGAGCATGACGCATTAAAAATACACTTCAACTACAATAACGATCTAAATAAATGTACACACATTACAGATTTATTTTGAATGAATAATTATTGAATGCAGTTCTTTTGCAATACATTTAAGGTCAGAAAAAACGTCTTGAAAAAATCGACGGAATCCGTAGCAACGAGAACCATTGCCCGTTAGATCAATCCATATGTTCTGTCTTGACAGCAAGAAGTGAGAGCTTTCGAATTGTGTATTTATTTTAGCTGAAATTCATGCTGAATTCCCTTTTCTTTAAACTTGACTATGGATATGGCTTGTGGGAGAGTGCGATTTCTCTTTCTGTTATTGATTTCATAGACAAATTTGCTGATTATCATCTTCGTTCTCTTATATTTCTTAACTTTTCACTATTTAGAATATGTTTTTTTATTCTTTTTCTCTTGCTAACAGCGTTTCTTCTCAAAATTTCTTTTCTAATAGACAAGTTCAACTACTTTTTTTTATTTTATTCTACATTTTATTAACTTATTTTTCATTTCTTTTCATTATTAGTTTACTTCGTTCTGTGGTAATTGTCTATCTTCAATTTAGCCATTTCAATTTCTTTAGTTTTTTATTCTCGATTGGTGAAGTCATCATTTTATGATCCTCTCTTACTCTTCATTAGTAAATTAGATTAAATGACAATTATTTGGCCATTTAGTAGTAGTAGCTGTGCTAGCATACCTAACATAAGATCGAGGTAACTTATGTATGCAACAATGTACTCATATTTTTTCAAAACTCTTCTAAATGTAGTAAAGCACTTACTGTAGATGCTTTATATGTTTGTTCTATTCACTTGTAGCGAGTATTAACCTATTTTTTTCTCTAATATAGATTAAGAAGTTCTGAATTTGTTAACATGAGAAATGAAAGAGTAAAAATAAAAATATTTCATCAATAGTAGATAGTTCTGTTTTGCTAGAATTGTAGTGTCTAAAAACTGTTTTGTTTAGAGCTAATGATTTTGTTATATTTTTTATCCTAGTACAACGTATATCAATGTCTTTCACAACAGTAGTTTAATAAGTTTTCTTTTCAAAGAATTTGGCTTTATGTGTAACTCTGTGCTTTTTTTTAAACCGAGAAAAAGCTTCAATAATTTTGAGAGACTAATGTCTTTTTTTTTATTTAATGTATTTCTATGATGATACGAGACGAGACAAGTTTTATGTGCACAGATTAAATCACTTGTATGTATTATTTCTCTATTATCTAAGTGTATACAAAAGAAAAGAGAACAAAAAAAAAGTAACATATACTCATTAAACTAATTTTTTTTATTCTTTCTCTCATTTTAGATAATGACAATGATGATTACGAGAATATAAAATGGCATTTACATCATTTTTTGCTAAAGATAAAGTAAGTACAAAATATTGAAAATAATCAAAGTTCATATATTTCTTTTTTTGAGTTATTTTGTTGCACAAGTAACAATTGTTTTCTGTCTAAAATTAAATCTAAAACATGTTGGACAAATTGCGTAACGTTGTTGTTTTAAGAGTAAAGAAGGACGTGTTGATAACATGTGTTTTTTTTTCTCTCAACAAGTATAACTTAAAGAAAGATACGCAATTTCTAAGTGACTCTATGATATTTTGATTGACTTTTCCATATTCTTTTTATTCTATTTACACAACTGTTATAAAAATATTCTCTTTGTTTATTTATCTTTTTTCTAGACATTTCGTCCAAAAAAGAAATTTCAACCTGGAACATTACGTTATTCATTACATAAACATGCATCAGCCACACTAAATTCTGGATTAGATCTTAAAGAAGTTGTTAAATTACCAGATGATGAGAATGAAAATGATTGGATAGCCGTACATGGTATGATAAAATAATGTCTTACATGTTGTTCTCAAATGTTTGACACTCAAAATTTATAACTTTTCTCTACAGATAGTAAAGAAAGAACTGAAAAACATAACGAGTATACATTAGTTATTTTTGCCATTAACAAGAAGAACGTCTTACTTTATAGAATTTTTTGTTTTATGATTGTGTTGGGTAAAATGGAATTTCGGCATTGTCGTTTTTGCTTAATATTTTCCACAAATTGTCGAAAGTCCATCTGATTTTTCGACTATTGTCTTAGGTTCTTCAAATTTTGACAATTATCAAAAATCCGTTTTTGTATTCTTTGTAGCTTCTAAAAGCCTATCTCAAAAAACTCTTCTAAAAACAAATTTTAGTTATGAAAACACGCCCCTAAGTCTTCTCTTTCGAATGGTAAAAGCCGCAAGTCGATAGCTCTTTTCTTCCAAAAAATATAAGCAAAACATCGGAGTTCGTTATTCATTGAAACAGATAGTAGTCTGGTCGCATAATACTGAAATGATTCCTGGTATTATTTAGAATACACAGATTACGGATTATAAACAATACAGTGTATTATTTTATTATTATACACGGTGTATGCTCTTAAAAATTTCACTTCAGATGCAATTGAAAATTACTGTCAAAATTCCGTTGGATTTTCGGCAATTGTCGAAGTTCATTGTAAATACGACAAATTGTCGAAAATAATATCGATTTTCGACAATTATCGAAATTGTTGGCGGGTTTGCTCTGTATATTCGACAATACTGCGAAAATCCTTCGAAATTTCGACTGGCAAAATTCTACGAATATCTTTTGTTGACCATTATGAACCATTCTCTCTCACTATCGGCAACAGTGCCTCTTATGTAAGTGAAACTTTCTTTTTTTACTTGTTTACTGCTTCCTGGCTATGTAACATCTTTAGTCAAAATACATTCATTCATTCATTCATCATTTTTCGAGTTTTTACTACTTTTTATTGTTCGGCATAGAATACACATCTCTATTCCAATGACGTTCTTAATCTCTTTTTTTTTTTAATTTCTTTTAGTTGTTGATTTTTTCAATCGAATCAATCTTGTTTATGGTGTTATTGGTGACTACTGCACTGAACAAACCTGTCCAACAATGTCAGGGGGGCCAAAGTATGTTTTTAACGTTCGTTTACTATGGGAAGTATATTCAAAGAATCATCTGGTTCCGAGTTGAACCAACAGAGTAGAGAGTGAAATGAAATCAGTATTATCTTTAATCAAGCTTTTCTATTTACAATAAACATGGGTAGTAAACCTAAAGAAAAATACTTGATTTTGATTTTATCTACTTTAGATATGAATATCATTGGTGTGATAATTTAGAATATAAAAAGCCTACAAGTTTATCTGCTCAGATGTACATAACGAAATTAATGGAATGGATTGAATTACAGATTAATGATGAAGCACTTTTTCCTATTCAGATTGGTATGTTTAATATGCAAATGTTCTCTCATTTCTTCGAAATTGTCCGAGTTGACAATCATTCTGAAAATTATTGCATATAACAGGTGGGCCGTAAAGAATGGCGGTCTCAGTATTTCGTTAATATCTCGCTCAATTTTCATTAATAAGACTTCAAATTTTTTTTATAAGATTTGTCATTTCATTCTCTACAAAAAACATATTGAACATTTTTTTATGTACCGTAAGAAGAAAAGAATGTAGGTGAAATACTGCGAAGCATCCATTTCCATTACTTTCAAACCGAAAACATAACGAAAAGATATTTATTTCGAACATGATGCTATGCAACAAAGTAGAATCAAAATGCATGTTCAGGTGGCTCGAAGTGTCATCTTTCTTTTCATGTATCAGAGGTTGGCTGTGAACGTGTTTTTTTTATATAAAAGGCAATTTTACTACGGTCTATCAAAAAGAAGGAAAATTTCCACCTTTTCGCCTTGTCAGTGGAAAGGAAATGAAGTTATCAAATTTTCTCTGTTCGAATGTAACAGAAGAATTATTTTTCTTCAAGATAAGACATATCAGACCTCAGACATATTCGATTTTGGTCAATCTGTAGATATTTTCTCAAATGTCATCAAGACTAAAGTTTGAAAACGGTAATTTTTGATAAAATCTATATAAACCTTCTAACGCAGCGAATTGCGATTATCTAGAGTTGTAAACATAACCAATTGATAGAGCTTGTCAAGAGCTACAAAACGGTCATCTCTGATTCTGTATCGCAAAAAAAAACAACTAGAATGGAAAAACTGTTTTTTAGGTTTGAAAGTAATGGAAATGGATGCTTCGCAGTATTTTATCTACATTCTTTTATTTCTACGGTACATAAAAAAATGTTCAATATGTTTTTTTTGTAGAGAATGAAATGACAAATCTTTTAGAAAAAAATTGAAGCTTTGATAATGAAAATTGCGCGAGATATTAACGAAATACCGATATCGCCATTCTTTATGGCTTACCTGTTACTTGTTTTGTTGAAATAAAATTTAACGTTTTATGTGTTTTAGGTATTCCATTTCCAAAATCGTTTCACTCAATTTGCAAGAAGATTTTATCTCGACTATTTCGTGTATTTGTACATGTTTATATTCATCATTTTGATAAATTAAAACAACTAGGAGCCGTAAGTACCTGAAGGCTAGAAAATTTTATTATACAGACGAATGTCGAGACACATCTATTTTCGTCTTAATATAAAAGAGAAGACGGCTAGACGTATCTATATGGCAAGTTTTTAGTTCGATTAAAAAACAAATTCGTCCAGATGCGTGTCTAGATAGCGAACGAACGAATGTTTTTGAGAAAGTAAACATGTCCACACGCGTCTTAGAACTTTTAGGCTAATTTAAACTATAAACGCTTAGACACGTTTTTATTCGAAAAAGAAAACGCGCCCAGACGTGCTTCTCATGATCGAGACGTTTCCAATTTTCTAATGTTTAACACTTCTATTTTTGAAAAGTTTTGACCATTCTTTCAAACGTGTGTCTTTTTTTTGCTTGAAATAAGAATGAGATGAAAAGCGTGTCTGAACGCAATTTCTGTCTCGATGATGAGAAGTGTCTCTAAATGTGTTCGAAAACAAAAATTTCTTTTTAAATACATTTAGGCGCGTTTTTCCATTCATGCGTACTAATTACCTTAGTCGCCAGAGAAGTTTTTTCAAATCAACAATCAAAAGAAGGAGGCGAGCAACCCTCAATGATTATCACCAGTCTACCTTTTATAGTCTGGTAACTTCTACGATCTTGCAGGACTCTGCTAAGGAAAAACAAAATCTTTGAAAAACGTCCAGGTTGTGTTTGGTAAGAAAAAGTGAGCATTTATAGCAAAAAATTTTATAAAAATTTTGCGGTAGAGATGATTCATTATTTGGCACGTCTAGATGCACATGATTGTTACAGTTGAATTTCAGGATATCGGCTTGTCCACGTAACGCGCCACTTCGCTGATCAAGTTGTTTTGTTTTTTTTCATCGGGAAATCGATAGGAGCCCATCACCAGACGTAGTTTTTCATGCTGATCACGAATTCCGTCTTTATTTTGAAAAAAAACTGAGTTTTCAATTAAAAAATTTTAATTTTCTGACCTAGAGATTTTCGTAAAATAATTTTAAAAATATACTGTCGAATAGAGAATTCAATTCTCTACAAAATGGCTCGTTTTGTTTTAAGAAATATTTCTCGATCGAGGCATAAGGACTGCTTGCAAATTTGAACTTTCGACTTAATTTAAAGCACCTTTTGGAAGTTTGTTTGCAACTGGAGTATCTTCAGGATGGCTAGAAGTACTCAAGCTACAAGGATGAAATTGTTTGAAGAACATTGAGTGCCCTGAAATGGTGTGACAAAAAATGTGTAATAGCGTTACATTTGTTTTCTGCTTTTTTTACGCAAGTAAAATTATTAGAAGAAAATTTTTTTACCGCTGAAAAACTCGTTCGATGCTTTACAAAATTTGCTCTAGGAGCATTTCATTTGGAGAACGACTTTTGCAGGAAATTAGAACTTTAGCAAGAGCACTCGGAATTTAGAGTCTTTTTATGTAAAAGCGTTACGCTATGAAAAAACCTTTCTCAAAACTTTAGATTTCAACCAGAGAACTTCGTTTTTATAGCATACATAGAGTATGATGAGTTGCGTCGAATAGCGTTTGAACGAACGTTTCTAGCTCTCAAAATTTCCGTGATAATTGAGAAAAATTGTGTTGAAAACGTAATAGCGTTACGTTTGGACAAGCCGATATACTACCACAAATAATAGTCATCTTTCGTTTGTTGAACGGCATAAAATGAGCGTATCTAAATACGTTCGAAATATTTATCTCAGAGACGAGTCTAGATTGTTCAAATTTGTTTTTAAACCGATCTGCTTAGGGCGTTCACACATGCCAGTTGGGAAAAAAGGATGCGTCTGAATGATAAAATTTTTGCAGTAAATATTATTCTTATTCTGACACTGCTTTATGTTTAAGTTTATATGTGTTTTAGGAGCCACATGTGAATACATGTTATAAACATTTTATGTATTTTGTTACAGAATTTAATCTATTGAAAAAAGAAGAAATTGAACCGTTGGTAAGATATTTTTCTTGTTTATATTAAACACATCTGTTAGAACTCATATATAGATACCATGTACTATGTATCACTAAACACTTTCGATAAAAATTCGTAAGAAATGTGTGATGTCTGATCTCTCGTGTAAATCATTATTAGGAAAAGACGAATTATAAATAGTCAGTATATTGAATTGTTATCGCTTACTATCTGAAGTAATATTTACTATTCTTCTCTTTTTTTCTTTTAGTATGAAATGACTTATCGTTTGTGTCCCGAAGTTCTTGGAATTGACAAACATTAATTCAAAATTTAATAGAGTTTTATGAATAACGTTTCTTGGATATTATTTCCTTAACGTACTTTTTTGTCTACTATTTTTCTCGTCAATAGAATGAGCCAATATTCTCCTAATATATCTCTCTCTATTTTGTTCATATAAATGAAAATTAGAAAGAATATTTTTTTTTCTCGTTAATCTCTCTTGTCATTCAACTTTTTATGTAATTATTTTTTCTTCCTTTGTTTTGTTAAATTATTTTTTTTAAAATAAAATAATATATTTGTCGTTTCTTTCCCTTATTTGAACTCTTTACACAACGTGAAGGATAAATATACTATACTGTTTATTGTATTTTAAAAATATGTACGATTTGAGTGCCATCGGGATTCAACTGTGTTAACGAAGGAACATATTTGAATGTCTCTCGCTGGGAAACGAGTTAAAAAATATGCTAGCGTGTAGAGAATTTTACGCTAATCACGAATATCAACATCTTAGCTGGCCTCATTACAATCTGAGAAAATCGAAATTTTATGTTTTTTCGCTTCAGGTACTTTCTACTAGTACATGTCATTTAACAGTCAGGAAAAATAGAAAAGATTCAAAATAAGTATACGCTCACTACTTAGATAGTTACTATCGGTGTTATACTACTATCTAGAGCAGAAAGATTATTCTTTCATATCGAATCTTCACTTTTTTCTCATTTCAACAAAAAAGATCGGTCTAAACAAAATTGGTGTATAGCAGTAGAGAGTGTGGAAAGTGTAAAAATGTGAAATTTCGATTTTTTCAGATTGTAATGACTGCTCAGCAGTCGCACGTGTTATTGTTTTTTTGTTATATCTCCCTTAATAAAAAATGTTTAAAACAACAAAACAAAGATAAAAATGTTTAAAAATAGAACACCAGATAGACAACGAAAAACAAAACAAAACAAACCAGGTATCGATAATGTTCGTTTGGCCAATTCATCGAGATCGCTGATTTCGTCCGACGGCGATCGACCCAAAAGTTTAAATTGGCCAGATCTGTCTGGACACAGACGAAATGTAGGGTCTTCGTATAGAAAACTCACCTGTAAAACGTGAGACATGAAGCATATGACTAGTTTACGAATAAACAAAGTTTTTAAACAGGGATGTACTTGAGCCAAGTGCTTGGGTTAAGTAATGACGACAGCACTTGTTGAATTTTTGCAGGTAAATTTACTTCTGAAATACTTGATCCAAGCGCTGACCTAATACATGTAAATTTACTTGAATAACTTCAACCAAATGCTTATTCCATTTATCTTTATTTTGTATGTATTCTGCAGCCATACTGTACTTTTGTAGAGTAGATACATGCATGGCTACCAATTTTGTTCAACTTAGGTAAGTGACGAAACCTGTCAAGATCTTCCCAGGTATTCAGCAAGTGATCAGGTACTTGCATCAAGCACATGTACTAGGAAGGCATATATAAGAAGTTATTTGAAAGAGATACACATGAATAATCATTGCTTTTATGTAAATGAGGTTTTATTAGAACTCACGTTCACGTCTATGATTTTTATTTTCTGTTCAATTTCCCCTGGCACCACGAAATCACTTTTTCGAGGGGTATTTCGAGTACTTAAAATATGCTCTTGATGGTCCCTCACCAAGGGCTTGGTCCCTCGAAAAATGAGACTTCTGTCCTTCGATATAAGTGTTCGAGTGGTTATCGACTTTGAGGCCTTGGATTCCAGATAGGTAGCGAGTCGTCGCGAAAAATTTCGAGCCATCGAACAGAGATGTTCGAGACCCAAGCAGATGAAAAAGCTTCGTCCAAGGATGCGTTGAGGATTCGCAATACTAATTAGAATTAACTATATTTTAAGACAATAGTAAAGAGGGCTATTATTCCCCTATTGTGTTAACACTGTTCATGAGCTTGAGATGATTCCCCCCATTTAGAACAGTCACTCAAAAATTTAATTGTGAGATAAACCCATGATTAAGAGAATCCTGTTTAGTCGATGAAACTGAAGTATAGGTATTATCCATTTCAAAAACGAAAAATTTAGCGTCATTTTTCATATATCCACCGAAAATTTGGTGTGTTTCTGACTTAAAATGGCTGATATACGGCAACTCTAGTTTTGACGGGCTTCATGCAAAAATCCGTTTTTTCATCAAAAATACCCTGGTGATCTTGGATCAACTTCTAGTTAAAAACAAACATTGCCACGTTGATCAGCGCATTCGGTAACCTATGTTTCAAGTCTTTCCGAGATCTTCCGACGTGTCCGGACCGAGTTAGCGTGGTCTCCGGAGAACCTTTCTAGCTCCGGAACCTTGTAAGCTAACGACCTGGGACTGCTCTAGAAACGAATATCTCAGTCTGGACTATCTGCCTGTCGTCTCAAAAGTTAAAATCCGAAACTTTTTCAGTGGTGTGACATCTTTCGCAAAATATCTTCGCAGGGTGCAGCACTTGCAGGTGACTTTGGGACAATAATTTTTGGTTTTTCTTATTGCCCCAACATTTTTCTTTCGACTAGTGGAAGCTGCAGCTCCGTAGCTACATCCTAGAACAAGTTATTAAACAAATGGCTATGGCCTTTCTTTTTTGAAATGGATAATAGCTATTTCCACTTGTTTATAACCAAGAGTTTGGTACTTCATTCTGCAGAAAAAGAAGTTTAAAGCCTTCCATGAAATCAGATTTGTGGAAGAGTTTTTGTTGGTTAAACATCATTGAGAAAACAACATATAATTAGACTGTGCTGGGTAGCTCTAGTGATAGAGTGTTCGCCGAACAAATCAATGTTGCTGGGTTCGATTCTCGATCAAGGCATATATTTTCCTTCTCGAGGTTTGTCGATCAAATTCCATATACAACCGCAAAACTACATAGGGTTCGTTCAGAATAGATAGTGTTTACTAACTGATTTAATGAGATCTGCATGAAAAAGAAAGAAACAGCTATGATGAATAAATTTGCGTCTGATACTACTTATCTTCGGACACATGCCTGCGTCCATCATGGAGTGAGTAGTACAGTGAAGAAAACAACGATCTGAGCTGTTCGTTAAAATTTATATAATTCTCTCAGTCATAGTCATCTCTCGAGACCATGATTCAAACAAGTTTCTTGGTCTTTCTTTCAGAAAATTTTTCAAAGTAGATATACAACAAGTCTTACCTACTTTCTCAGTAAGGTAATCTAAACACTATTCGTGTTTCGTATGTTGATATAAGCTATTAGTACGATTCTGTTGCATTTTGTGACCTTTGATACTTTTAAATCGTAAGGACGGGGTGCAATAAGAACGAGGATCTTGCCCTTTCATTCTGCCCCATTTCAGATCTCGAAAGATAGCTAGAATGAAAGAGCATACAATTTTACGGGGTTCTATACCCTTAGTTCCCCTTTGGATCTCATGAGAATCGACTCTCATTTGGACCTGTGAGAAAATCGATCAGCTTTGACCAATAGTTCCGCGAGCCCATTTCGACGCGTTTTTCGTAATTTTCTCAGAATACAACAAGTTTGAAGGAGAGATTTTGGACGACCCAATTACACATCAGATGCAAGGAAAATCGCTAAATGACGTAAAATTTAAATTAAATATCTTCACATAAGACTATTATTAGTTCTTTTTTGTTCCTTTCTCTATCGATAGTCTATCAATTAGTATTAGCTTTTTCTTGTTCTCTTTCTATCGAGTTTCTATCAATTAGCAATTATACTATATATAGAGAGATTTCATTTCACTTTTTCTGTTTTTCCTGATGATGATAAGTGTCTCTTATCGAAAGCTTGAATAAACCTTACACTGATTTTTGTTCAAAATCTAGATGATCTTTGTGGCAGTTTTATACTCAATAATATTTAAATCTTTTCCATTCGTCTGACTCGATATTTGATTTCCACATCCAAACTGTTCGTGATTGTTGTGACTTTGATGAAGTCATGTTTGAAGAAAAGAAAATCTAGAAAACAACAAAATGTGAAACCTATTTTTCACGAAAAAGCAATCTAAAAATACTATTGTCAGCTAATTCATAGAAAATAGAAGCAGTGCAACACAAATATTTTGCAGAAAATAAAATGTAGAAAGCAGAAAATTGTCGATAGAGCGTCAAGAAAATGTGAAAAATAATCACCAATAAATTAATCACCAACAAAATTTATAAAAAAGACAAAAGTGGATCTACGGACGATTATACGAATATCTGACGGCAAACAATATCCCGTACACGAAAATTCATATAAAAAACCGGTCCAAAATACGGGTGACATCGGTTCGTTTTCAAGCAGGTAAACTGGTCAAAACCAGCGGTTTGCGACACAATAACCGCTCTCTCGTGTAAAAACCGCGGGTGTCTTTTTTCATTTTTCTGAATCGCTGCGGGTATAACAGCGGTTCTCGCCGGTTATTTTTTGTTAAAAATCGCAGAGATCGGGGTGTGCTCAACTGAATAAAATCGCTCCCTTTTCGATCGAACCGCAGCTAAAGGCGGTTATTTTCCTTGAAAACTGCGTTAGAAACAACTGCAATCCGCTAATATCGACGGTTATTTATCCGAAAGGGAGCGATTTAATCACTCCCTTTTTCGAAATAACCGCAGATGAAGGCGGTTATTTTTGAATGAAATTTGTGGTTGTCACCCGTTTTAGACTGCAAAAAACCTCTTATCAGGGTCAACAAGAACACTTCAAATCGGTGAAAACCGCGGTTGAAGCGTTCTTAGTTCTGAGCTTTACGTCCTTCTCTATTTTGAGAGAGACCTAGCTCTGAACACTCCCTTAAAAAAAGGTAGTGGTACTTATTTGCTTAGAACCGTTTTGTCTGGTTCACTTCTTTGTCTTCCTTCACATGAAGTTGTAAGAGTTCAAAATTACACAAGTCAACTAAGCAAAACTTGTGTGCTTATACACCAACTGTTTGCGCAAAACAAAATTGGTGAATGAGTAGTTGCTCATTCAACCGCAGTGAACCGCGGATCTTTCAGAAAAAAACCGCTAGTAACCGCGGTTCGGCCAATAGA